CGCTGACTTTGTGAATTAAGAAAATATTCAGAAGATGAGATTATTATTTAAGTTCCCAGGCCTCTCACCGCACCACTGTCTGGGTCAAACCTCTAACAGGCCCGGGCTCGCCCGCTTTTCCGGATGATAATGCTGAACAGCAAAACGCCGCCAATACACGACACATGAATGAAAAATGTTGACACATAAACCACAGAAAATACCAAATAAAGTGGAAAATTACACAGCCTGTGTGCTGAAACGCTAAAAGTGTTCTAAAACCAGCAAAATGGGTGCATTTAAACCCCGTTCAGTGATCCAAGATTTGGATAAAGCTGAAGACGCACAGGTGCCACGTTTGGGCACAAATATGGACACGACACTTAAAATAAAGAAAGAAAAAAAGCAACATCTCTCTCTCTCTCTATGCTATAGTAATAAATAATTACAGTTATTTGTTTCTATATGCTGTGGATGACAGCATTTTTATAGCTTTTTAAATATTTGGCACAGAAGGGTGTTTAAAGGCCTACGTCTTAATGACATTTTGACAGAATGGACATATTTTTAGCTGAAGTTGCACCTTAAATCACATTTGGAGGAACCTTGTATGCTTATCTTTAATGTGATTTAACATATATGTAGGGAATCTTAACTGTCAAGCTAATAACATTAATTTGATACTACACAGATAAGAAATCTGTCAATTATTGTAATCCTTTATTATTATTATTATTGTTATTATTATTATCATCATCATCATCATCATCATCATTATTATTATTATTATTATTGTTGTTGTTGTTATTATTATTATTATTATTATAACATAATGGATCCTGAGTATTTAGCAGACTAATGTGCTTACATATTCTAATTGTGAAACTGACAAGTAATCGCAGCCGGTCCAAGATTTTATGAAGACATAAAAATAGCTTCATGTTATCTGCCAAGAGTGAAATATACACTGTTAGTCAGAGACAAAGTGTCTTCTCATGATCTTGGAACTGAATGTGAGACTCTGTTTATTACTTTAGCACATAATGAAAACTGTAATTTCAAAGGAGCAACACTCATTGGATGCCAAGAGCCATCAGTTAATGAGTTTAGAGGG